ACAGTACAGTGACATTGACTATATTCTTCAAACGGTGCAACCCTTCTCACCCTGCTTTTCTTATTTGTTCTTCCTCCATTAACATAAGCTCACTGCCCACTAAGCTTCCTATCTGACCTTTTGAGTTGCTGTTGTCAGTTTGATCCCATATAGTAAGTTTTTTAAAAGAGCACAAAGCTCAGCAGACAGTCTTTGCTAGTTAAGCTGGACGGTTATGTGAAAATGACGTGGCGGCAGCAGACCTCCTCGTCTGACTTCACGACGGGGGAGGAGAATCACCGTCAGTCCAAGGCTGATTCCTGTGAGGCAGAGGTCACACATGCCTCCACTCTCTGACCTTTTTCCCAATTCTGACACCAGCTGTCCCTCCCATGGCACTCTCTACTTCTCTACTGGGTTTGACAATTCTTGCAATGGCCACACAGAACTCACAGACCATACTCACAATTATAGGGTTTATTAGGAAAGTAACAGGTTACAATTCAGGGTCAGGATCAACTTGGAAGTAACAGGAACAACTCAGGATACAGTCCTTCAGTCAGGACAGCTTCTTCTTGTTCTTCAGCCCTCAGCCCTTGCTCTCAGCTCTCGGCCCTCAGACCTTGCCCTCAGCCTGGCCTCTGCCCTGCTCGGGCCAGCGTCACAAAGTTCTTTACTCTGTCAATAAGTGCCTGGAGGCTCCCACTCCACCAGGAAGCCTGCTGCCCGAAGGCGCTCAGCTCTCTTGCTCCGTGGGTTGGCAAGCCTAACCTGTTGATCCAGTGCTGCTGTCTCGCACCATCTCTGGTGTTACAGCTCTCTCTGTCTCCTAGGTCTAGGAGGTTCTCAGTGCAGGGACCCTGGGTCCAAAGGACACATGTTGCTCCTAGGTCTTCTTCTTGATGGTTCCGTCTCCAGCCTCTGGGATTGACTCCCTTTAAGCCTAGCATGATGGCGAAACTGACTAATCCCCTACAAGGGTTCCATGCGCCTTACTTGCGTGTCCCACCCCTGCAACGCTTCCATGCACTTTATTTGCACTAGCAGAACTGTCTGGTCTCCTTGGTGGGCCACAAACACCTTACTTGCATAGTTCCACCCCGACATTTTGTAGGAGTTACAAGACCATGGCTAGAAGGGCCATGTGAAAGCAATACACTGCACGGCAGTTGTTGGATTTAAAGATGACTTTAGGGGCTATTTTTGGTTTCAGGTTTAAAGATCATCTCAGGGCAATAGTTTCATCCAGCCTCCGTGGGTCCAGAAAGTCTGGATTCCATGAGAATTTGAAATTCTGTTCCCAGTGGATGTTTTTTGAGCCTCCCTGTGAGCTTGGCCCTGGCTGAGGATCAGCACGAGGCCAACATGACCTGGAGCCCAGGCAGAGCAGGAAGGAGGCTGCCCCACAAACCACAACAAGCCTGGTGCTTATGAAGAAGGAGAAGTGCAGAAAGCAGGAAGGGCCCAGCCCAGCGGGCTCCGGAAGAAGAGTCAGATGGGGTGGAGGGTGGAACATTCCACGCCCTGAGGGTAGAAGGAAACCCCTCCTTCTCTGCTGTGCCCAGTGGCCCCCACCCTCCCCCACAGCTGTGGGCTCCCTTGCCTCTCGGGGCTCAGCTGGAGGGTCTGTCTCCCCTCAGGAGTCTTTTAATGCCAAGAGTCTGTACTGCTCACATGGCTGAGCCTGGGGTCTCCCCCTCGCTCTGTGGACGTGGGAGAGACTCAGACTAAGGAGTCATTCTCCCACAGTCCTGGAGGCCAGAAGTCCAAAATCAAGCCATCGGCAGGGCCGCGCTCCCTCTGAAGGCCCCAGGGGAGGATCCATCCTCGTCTCTTCCAGCTCCTGGTGGTTCCAGGCAGGGCCGGACTTGTGTCTCTGCCTGCATCGTCGTCACAGGGCCTTTTCTCCGTGTTTCTCACAAGGACACTGTCGTTGTCCCAGGGCCCGCTGGATAATCCAGGGTGGTCTCTCGCTCTCGAGCTCCGTAACTACATGACAGCAGCAAAGACCCTCTTTCCAGACAGGGCCACACTCACAGGTTCTGGGGGTCAGGATTGGGGCTGCCAGTCAGCCCACCTGGACGACCTGTGGCACTGTTGACCTCATGGCATACACTTTCACACCGTATGAGCAAGGACCCGGAGGGTGCCCTGAGGCTGGTGTCAGACGCGGGCGTGGTGCTGCTCTGGCTGTCTGCGGCCCCGTCCCTCAGCGTCTTCTGCTCTGAGGCCGTCGGGATGTGCCAGCTGGCAGTTCAGGCCACCCCGGAACTGACTGCCCTATTCAGCGGGGTTGAAGCCCTTTCTGTTTTTTTGAAAATATTTAGGTTAACAGTAAACATTCATTCATTCATTCATTCAGTGCGTTTATGACATTCCTATTACCGCACCAGGGATGGGGAATATCAAGATGCATATGATACAACCATCCTGACAGGGACGCAACAGAGCCCTGGACAGAGCAGGAGAAAATGTAGAACAGAACTCAGATTCACACAGAATGACCAGACTTAATGGTCTGACAGAAACTGGAGGGACGCCCGAAACTCTGGCCCCGACACACTGTTAACCCAGACCTGAAACCATGCCCGAAGCCCACTCTTCAGACAAAGATTAGACAGGACTGTAAACAAAAAGTACCCCTGAGGAGTGTGCTTCTTCGTTCAGTCAGATACAGGACACCAAATGGACGGCTCCTGTCCGGAGGTGGGATGAGAAGGCAGGAAGGGACAGGAGCTGGTCGAACGCACACACGCAGGGGACTTGGGGTGGAAAGGGAGAGGGTGCTGTCACATTGTGGGGATTGCAGCTAATGTCGCAAACTAATATGTGTATAAATTTTTGTATGAGAAATTAACTTGAGCTGTAAACTTTTACCTGAAGTACAATAAGCAAGGAAAGATGAATATTGCTAGACCTTCCTTCCAGGAGGCTGACGACGTCGTGGGGGGAAGTGAATGTAAAGACAAGAGTTGTTGTCGGGTACCGTCAAGTCGATTTTGACTCACAGCGACCCCATGTGACAGAGCAGAACCACCCCATAGGTTTTCCTAGACTCTAACTTACAGAGGAGCCCTGGCGGCACAACGGTTAAAGCGCTCAGCTACTAACCGAAAGGTAAGCGATTCGAACCCGCCCAGTGGCTGCGCAGGAGAAGGATGTAGCAATCTGCTTCCGTAAAGATAACAGCCTTGCAAGGTCATGGAAGCTCCATAGACACATCCAAACTCCCTGAGGGACCGAATGACTGGGCTGAGGGCTGTGGGGACCATGGTGTCAGGGAACATCTAGCTCGATTGGCATAACATAGTTTCTAAAGAAAATGTTCTACATTCTACTTTGGTGTGTAGCGTCTGGGGTCTTCGTAGCTTGTGAGCAGCCATCTAAGGTACTCCACTGGTCTCACCCTGTTGGGAGCAAGGGAGAATGAAGAAAACCAAAGACACATGGGAAAGATTAGTGCAAAGGACTCACGGACCACAACTACCACAGCCTCCACCAGACTGAGTCCAGCGCAACTAGATGGTGCCCGGCTACCACCACTGACTGCTCGGACAGGGATCACAATAGAGGGTCTCGGACAGAGCTGAGAAAAATGTAGAACAATATTCTAACTCACAAAAAAAGACCAGACTTATTAGCCTGACAGAGACTGGAGAAACTCCAAGAGTATGGTCCTCGGACACCCTAATAGCTCAGTAATGAAGTCACTCCCGAGGTTCACCCTTCAGCCAAAGATTAGACAGGCCCATAAAACAAAATGAAACTAAAGGGGCCCACCAACCCAGGGGCAAGGACTAGAAGGCAGGAGGGGACAGGCAAGCTGGTAATAGGGAACCCAAGGTCAAGAAGGGAGACTGTTGACATGTCGTGAAGGGTGGTAACCAATGTCACAAAACAATATGTGTAATAATTGTTTAATGAGAAGCTAGTTTGTTCTGTAAACCTTCATCTAAAGTACAATTCAAAAAAAAAAATGACAGCCTTGGAAACCCTATGGGGCAGTTCTACTCTGTCCTACAGAGTCGCTATGAGTTGGAATCAACTCGACGGCAATGGTGTGGTTTTTGGTTTAATCTTAACAAGAGCAGATTGCCAGCAGATTGTTTCTCCTGCAGAGCCACTGAGTGGGTTTGAACCGCTGACCTTTTGGCTGGCAGCTGAGCACTTAACCGTTACGCCACCAGGGCTCCTCATACGTGACGGTGGGCACAGTGTTACTCAAGTTGTGCCAGTAATACGCAGAGGGAAGGAGGGAGGTGTTTCAATTCTGCAGAACAGACTTCTTAGGAAAGGTGCCTTTTTAAGGATCCCTGGTGGCGCAGTGGTTAAGAGCTCAGCTGCTAACCAAAAGGTCGGCAGTTTGAATCCACAGCGGCTCCTTGAAAACCCCTCGGGACAGTTCTGCCCCGTCCTCTCGGGTCGCCGTGGGTTGGAATTGATGCGGCGCTTTGTTTTCGTTTCGTTTTCTGGGAGTTTGGCAGCACAGCCCTCCTCTGTGTCTTCAACAACGCCTCTGCCTCTGTGATGCCGAAGCCTCCTTGCTTCCTCCGGAGTCCAGTGAGGTTGTTGCTGTCAGCTGCCATGGTGGAGTCGGCCCGGCTCACCGTGACCCCATGCTCGCTGCCCGGTCCTCCGCCACCGCTATGATCGGTTGCAGATCAGACCACTGTGATCCGTAGGGTTTTCACTGGCTGATTTCGGAAGTCGATCACTAGGCCTTTCTTCCTCGTTGGTCTTAGTCAGGAAGCTCTGCTGAAACCTAGGCACACACAAGCCGCCAGGGACAGGCAGTGGTGGCTGCGCATGAAGTGCGTTGGCCAGGGATCAAACCCAGGTCTCCTGCGTGGAAGGCGAGACTTCTACGGCTGAGCCACCACTGCCCCTCGCACTGGGGCTGAACCTTTTTAAAACCAGAAGGCCTGGGAGACATGCCGCGTCCCTTGTGTGCTCAGAGCAGAGCGTCCAGGGAAACCCTCGCCTCCGGCCGGTCATCACTCCTCCTTTGTTGCTCGTTCCAGGTCTCAGAGAGGAGCCCGGGCCCCAGTGGACTTCCTGCCGCCTCTTGGCCACTGTGCTTGGGACGCGTCTCCAGGCCCTGAGCCTTGGAGCCCCAGGATGTCCAACCCCTTCCTGAAGCAAGTCTTCAACAAGGACAAGACGTTCCGGCCCAAGCGCAAGTTCGAGCCGGGCACGCAGCGGTTCGAGCTGCACAAGCGGGCGCAGGCGTCCCTGAACGCGGGGCTGGACCTGCGGCTGGCCGTGCAGCTGCCCCCGGGGGAGGACCTGCACGACTGGGTGGCCGTGCACGTGGTGGACTTCTTCAACCGCGTCAACCTCATCTATGGCACCGTCAGCGACGGCTGCACGGAGCAGTCCTGTCCGGTCATGTCAGGTGGCCCCAAGTACGAGTACCGCTGGCAGGACGAGCACAAGTTCCGCAAGCCCACGGCGCTGTCCGCCCCCAAGTACGTGGACCTGCTGATGGACTGGATCGAGGTGCAGATCAACAACGAGGACCTCTTCCCCACCAGCGTCGGTGAGTCAGGTCTCCGGGGCCTGTGTCCAGGGCTGCCGTGACAGAAATGCCACAAGGGGGCGGCCATTGTCACACGGTTCTGGAGGCTAGGGGTCCGAAGCAGGGTCTCGGCCGTGTGGACTCCTTCCTTGCCAGTAACTGTGGGCGTTTCTTGTTTCCTTGGAGCCCTGGTGGCGCCAGGGTTCAGCACTTGGCTGCTAACTGAAAGGTTGGCGGTTTGACCCCACCAGCCACTCTGCAGGAAAAAGACCTGGCGATCTGCTCCCGTAAAGATGACAGCCTAGAAAACCCTATGCGGCAGTTCTACTCTGTCACGTGGGGTCCCTAAGAAGTGGAATCGACTTGACAACAGCAACGGCTTGGTTCCTCGGCTTGTGGACCATGGTCACATGGTGTGTGTCCTGCCTGTCTGTGTGTGTGTCTGTGGTCATGCCGCTCTTTCTGTAACTCAGAAACGTCTGGGTTGAGGCCCTACCCTGCACTGGCGTGGCCGCCACCGCTGGATTGGTTGCGTGACATCAGACTGCATCATGGAAGGGCTCACCTTATGTTACACCCACGGTTACAGGGGCCAGGACTGCAGTACGTATCTGAGGGACACAGTGGAACCCGTGACACACTGTCGTGTGTGGCCGTTCTTTCCCTCCCCACCCGCCCATCCCCGGGGGCTGTCCCTGTTCTTTCTGTCTCGTGGGGACAGGCTCCAGCAGCCCCGGGCCACAGAGCCCTGGGTGGGCGCGATGAGAACGCAGGAGGATGAGCCAGACTCGGCTCTTTCCTCCTCTCTTTTGCTGCTGTGTTGCCTGCAGCCCAGCATCAGGGAGAGGGGGCCCGCCACCCCCTGGACCCTGCGGCCCACCTATCTTGGGATTCCTCTAGAACAACAAGGGGGCTTACAGGCTGGGCTGCCAATAGGGCCCCTCACAGTCACCAGGGCATTTTGAGAAGATGAGCTTGTTATCACAGGAGACCACAGTGCATTCTGTACCATAATCACGGTGGTGTCAGGACCGGTGGCTTCTAAGTGGTGTGAGGAATCAGAGGTGTGGAGCCACAGTCCACTAGGGTGTCCCAGAGGGCTTTGGGGAGACTCAGGGCAGAGCTGGGTCACAAAGGGTGCCGCTTAGCCCCCTGCCCAGGGCCAGCCTTCCTGGTAAAGGCCCTGACGTGGCCCACTGCACTGTCTAAAGGCTCCACCACCAAGCACCTCGGTGTGATGGAATCATTGTGTCCAGGCCCAGGGACAGACGTAGACAGCTTCCCTCTGCCTTTGGGGTGCAGCACTAAGCTCACCATTGGGCCCTACCACCTCCCCACCTTCTCTCCCACTGTCCCCCATTCTCTTGGAACACACCGGACCACGCCTATTTCCACAAACGTGTCGACTCTTCTCTTGACAGTGGGCCTTCTACTTGGAGCATCTCCACCTCCATGACCGCTCCCCACGGTTAGCATCTCCTTGCCCTCCACTCAGAAAAGATCACTTCCCGGGGGGCTTCCCAAATGCTCGTGTGGGTGACAGTGCTAGACCCCGTCGGCACACTTTTCCTGCAAAGGCCCGGAGAGTATTTCCACCTTTGCGGTCAGTCTCTGTCATGGCTGCTCAGCTCTGCCGTTGTCGTGCAAGAGCAGCTGGCAACAATTTTTTGACAAATGGATGTGGCCTGGGGGCCGTTGTTTGCGACCCTGTGTTGGAGCATCATCACAAGTGGACAGAGACGCCCTCGGCGACTCCATTTCTACATCCTTCTGAGCGGTGGCGCTCTGAATCCGCCTCGTCCAGGGTCGCCTGGGTGACTCTCGGTCCAGAGACTCCCCAACGGCTCTCCTAGGAAGGGGAGGGGCAGGGTCTGATGGCCACTGGGGCCGAGCCACGTGGTTGCTGCAAAGCCTCCTCTGGGCCTTACTGCCCGCTGCAGCTTCCCATCCCTGTGATTCCATAACCAGACTTAGAGGATCTTTGTCACCAGGTGACGGGCCCATTGACCTGAACTTCCCACCCAGCAAGGTACCTGTCCCACACTGTGTGGCTTTCACAGGTTTTCAGGGGCAGCGTCTGCTTCTCAGACACCCCACAACGTGGCGTCTCAGTGCCCTGGGGGTGCCTTAACGGAGTACCCGAAAGTGGGCGGCTTGAGAGAACAGGAGTTAACTTTCTCACAGTTCTGGAGGCCGGAAGTCCACATCTGGGTCTTGGCCGAGCTGTTTCCTCTTGGGGGGCTCAGGGAGGAGCTGTCCACCCTTCTGTCTCAGCTTCTCGGGCTGCGGTGATCCTTGGCGTTCTTTGGCTTTTGGACGGATCGATCCGCACATGGTGTCCCGTGTGTGGCTCTGTCTCCATGTCTGTCCTTCCCTTTTATAAGATACCACTCAGAAGGGATTAGAACCCACTGTTTAAGGTAACGGATCACAAGAGAGAAACCTTGTTTTCAACACAGTCACACTCACAGGGACAGGGGTTAGGACTTCAACATATCCTTTTGGAGACACAATTCAATGCAAAACTTTTGGGTTTGTGGGTGATCGTTTGGGAGTGTCTCTTGAGAGTAGGAAAAAGGCAGTTACTTTCACATCCATTCCGACCCCTGACGACCCTACGTGTGTCAGAGTAGGACTGTTTTCAATGGCTGATATTTCAGAAGCAGATTGCCAGGCCTTTATTCCAAGGCACCTCTGGCTGGACTCGAACCTCCAACTCTTCAGTTAGCAGCTGAGTGCATTCACCATTTGCACCACCCAGAGCCTCCCTGGATTGTAGAATGCACCTTTTATTCAGCCTCCTCCCCCATCAGGTGGATGAAGGAGCAAACCCAGAGTCCTCATCGGTGGTGAGTGCACCTTCCACAGGGTTTGTCCCCCAGGAGCCCTGTGTCCTGTCTACCTGTAATACAAACACCTTCCCAGGAGCTCAAAGCCGACTTCTCATGGCTGTAGGAACACTGCCTCAGTGGTTACTTGTCCCCAGATACAGAGACAGAACGGCCCAGTGACCAGCACATCTGTGCTGAAGTTCAGGGGCGAAGGCCCCGTGGCCACACGGGAGTGTGAGAGCTCCTTCTTCTTGCCCGTTGCCCCAGGACAGAGCAGCTGTGTCATGCTCGGCTCTGTATCAGTCCTCGTGGTCAGAGACTGTCTGTCCCAGGGTCCTGCTGCAGGCTCTGCTGCCACTGAGAGCTCTCTTGCTGGGTGGGTGCTTGTTGGCTACGCTGTCTAGGAAACATTCCCACCAGGTGAATCCTCGTCCATGGGACGGTGCGTGAAAGTTCAGGCAGATCCCGGCAGCCTTCCTGTTGGAAGCGCTCAGCAGTTTTCACTCCTGGCAGCTGCGGCGGCAGGCCCGGCCCTCACCTGGTGTCCGCTACCACCTCCGTCTCCTCCAGCCTGACCAGGAAACCTGCTGTGACTGCTGTAGTTCGTGTTTCCTTACTAGGACTGGGGAGTCCCCGGGTGGGGCAAACCTAGCTGCCACCTTAGCTCTGCTCCTATCTGAAATGTTGGTGCTTGGAGTCCACCCATAGGTGCCTTGAAAGAAAGGCCTGGCAATCTACTTCCAAAATCAGCCATTGAAAATCTTATGGAGCCCAGTTCTAGCCTGACGCACATGGGGTTGCCATGAGTCGGAATCGACTAGATGGCAACCTCTTTTTTTTTTTTTTACATAGGACTGAGGTTAAGCCTCTCTGTCTGTTTATTGACCTTTTAAATTTTTTTCCTATGGGCATATCTCTCTCATTAATTTATTAGCATTATCAAGTAAATTAGCTCTTTATCATGTGTTGCAAAAATTTTATTTTATGTATCCCATTTACTTAGTTAATTATTATTTTATTTATCATTCTAATT